TATAATTATTTAAGCCATAAGGAAGTAACACAGTTTTTGAATTCAGAGAAAGGTGTGTTTATATATAGGTCTTGAATAAATCTGTATTCCAGGAATTTTAAAGATAGGTACAGTTTGAGAAATTCAGCCCTGGCTGGAGGCCAAGGGGCACCAGCACCATTTTCCTTAAACTAGTTAAACGTTCCACTTATGAAAAGATGGCATTTAATCTCTGCAGATCCCTTCCATACACCAAAGGGGATAAAGTCACCTATCCCTGTATAGCTCAGAAACACTCTTTAAAAGGCCACGGATGTCAAAAGCCCTTTTCCAGAAAAAGGCCTTTGTATATACTAGTTTGTTATTCTAAGAAAAGGAGTGGTTATGGATTTATAGATTAAAACATTATCATTTTAAGGCTTTTTGAAAGGTTAACAAGTTGAATTTTTTCATTAAACTATGGAGCCCATGCCACACAAATGACTTAGAAGACTGGGGAAATATCCCATCATAAGTTTCTAGAGAGTATCCTGTCTGTGTAAGACACCAGAGAGGAGGACATGGCAACAGTAAGAACATGCAGAATAAGTGTTAAAGCTTTTGGGAAAAGTACCAACCTGCTATATGCTTAACTTTATTTGTGTAAATTTGTTACTCTTCAGTGCAGAAAAGCTGGCTTGGGCAATCCATTGCTACTCCTTTTACCCCACAATACATAATCTACAAAAAGTAATATCTTACTGACAGAAAGATGATCACAAGAGCTCCCCTAAGACAGTGAACAATCAAGATCAGAGGCATCATATAGGCGATTACATGTGTGAAGCTAACAACAAAAGTTCAGCAGTTTTAGTCTTGACATTTCAGATGAGCACCCTGTTTCCAATCACAGAAAGACCAACCACCAAAGAGCCAATGCAAGGACCACGAGAAAAGACATCATGAAAGGAATACGAGGAGATGGAAAAGTACTAGAGTAGAGGCGGCACTTTTTGAGAGACTTGTGATCCTCGGGTATTGGAATGGAAACCTTGGGAAGGATTTCTTCATTTTCTTGCCGGGCCAAGGCTCTTTCAGTAGATCTCTCTTGCCTTTTAATTTTCTCTTCATCCTGTACTAACAGAGCACGTTCCTGTGTCTGCTTTCACCGTAGAAGATCAAGAAAGACAGAGAAAGATGAACAAAATGACAGATGGAGAACGCTCAAAATGAAACTTGGGGATGTGCAAAGGATTTAGAAAGACCTTTTGGACACTACTTTAGATTCACTTTACTCTGGCAATTTACCCTTGCTCTCTGTATCTTATCTCTATTATATAGTAGGTGCTCCATAGTTAATTTTTAAAAATAAGTGAGTATTAGAATGATTGAAAGTTCAATAGTTACTAGCCTTCTTTATTCCTCTTTTCAGGATATCCACATTATTTATTTTTTTTCACATCTGAATTTTGGTCATTTTCCATTGTTTAGTACTGCCAATCACCAATGACTTGAGCTACACCAATTAAGAAGCATTCTTCTTGCCATGAGAAAAGTTACTTTTATTATAAATAGAATGGCAGAATATAAAGAGTATATTCCTTCATATATACTTAAACTGTAATAGTTCAGTATAATAATTAGCTTTTAAGGAATTAAAAGTCTTAATCTTACACATTTTAAAAGATTGCAAACAAACAAAAAAAACACAAAAAACTCCTACCCAAAACCCGAAGTATAAAATGTACCTCCAGGGTCTACCAAAAGGTCGTAATATAAACAAAGCAACCCACAAGATCTCAACATTTGTACATTCTTAGAATCATGATTAAAAATAACGACCATCATGGAGGTTTATACATTACATTGAGTAAATAGTTTTGACAATTTTAAGAAAAGCTTTGCCCCTAATTGTCCAATTAAGAATTTTCCTGCCTCTGCAATTTCTGCCCTCTGTCACACACAGTCAAGACAGACGTTGTCTATGACAAGAAAAACCTGGCTCTAAGCTCTCTAAGCTGAGCTAGCCTTCTCTGGTCAGTCTGGAAGCTCAACACTGGTTCTTTGCACACCCCTAAGTGATACGTATCAGGGAGAAAGTAGCTAGGGGACTGGTCAGCAAAAGAAAAAAGGAAAAGACAGGATGCAAATTTGTAATGATTTTTAAAAGAAAATAAAATGGGAGAAGAAAGACAACATAAAAAGAATAGGGTATAATTAAATTCATTTTCTCTCTAAATACACATTTACATCTTCATGCAGCTTTTCCACCAGCCATGCGCCAAAATAAGCAAATTGCAGGCTGCAAATGTTGCAGCAGCAAAAGTGTAATGTGTTAGGCCAAAAGGCTGTGGGCACGAACTCACTGGTACAGCCAAAAGAAAAGTTAATCAGCAGCTGCTGCTCAGTTCTGGGGGATTCTCTGCTTAGTGCCATGACAGGAGCAAATTCTGATTGAGAAGCACAAGTCATAACAGCAGCTTTACCTCTGGCCCACCAACCTTTCTTTCCGAGGGGAGGACAGAGGTTTTCTTCACCTGGTCATACACAAATTGTATAAAATTCAGTTGCCTTGCAATGCAACAACAATGCTGTTAAAGGTGGAAGAGGTATCCTCAGAGAACAGAAATATTATCCTAATTATTAAAGAAAAAATACGATATGCCAGAAAGCATAATTATCCCAATATAAAAGGTTATCACAGTATAGTTTTATTTATCTCATTATTCAGTTAGAGTGGTAAACATACATAGAGCACAGAGCCAAAATTATTTAAGTCCTCCCCATGGATCTTGGTTTATAAAGAGTCATTTCTTTAAAGCCCACAAATGACACTGCCATTCCCAAAACTAGCCCTGAGATGAAGAGTTTCTATTAAAAGACATAAGATATTTTCTGGAAATGAGGACTAACGCAAATTTATCCAACCTCATGCAAGACAGAACAAGTTACTTTTTCAAAGTAGTTGAGCATCATTTATGACTTTCAGTTAAAAAACAAAACTAGAAAACTTGCAGTTACTGTTTGCAGATGGGGTTATTAGATGAGGTTGTAATAAGCCATTTTCCCACTTGTAGAATTTTAGCGTAAGGACATTAAAGATTACCGAATGTATAAACTGAGGGAACATAATAAATGCTATGTTCAAAATAATTTAGTTAGATTAGCCAGACCCTCTCAGTCAAACCAAGCCACAACTCATACTAGACCTTTATGAGCCCTTTTTTTTTTTTTTCTTTTTTTTCCTTCGGTACCAGGAATTGAACTCACGACCTTGCGCTTGCCAGGCTAGCGCTGTGCTGCTGAGCTAAATCCCCAGCCCCCTATGATTCCTATTACTAGGGAAATATCCAAATGGAATATCTAACACTGAGAGTGGTGGTTTCAACTAGCAAGCAGGGTTATTGCCCCAGTTCAGGATATGTGTTCTACATTTAAAACACAAAACTAATGTCTGTTTATATCACGGAATGGAAGCTGAGAGGACAATGAGTGGGAACATCAGTGTCCATCATTCCTGGTAATTCTATTAAGCTGCCAATTACTCAGATATTCTTCAACTTTACTTGTGAAAATGTTTTAGCATTGGAGAACTGTTAGTCAATTTCAATCACATTTTAAACAATACAAAAAAAGCCCTCTGTGGACCAATGTTTATCCCCTTCTCCAGTTCAAGCAACTAAACAATAATTTGGATAGTTTACAAAGAACCGTGAAAATTAAAGCAACAACTACAAACAAAAACAGGTTTTTCTTTTTCTTATTTTTGTTTTTGTTTTTGGGACAGGGTCTTATTATGTTGCCCATGCTCGTCTTTTCTTTTCTTTTTTTTCTTTTTTTGTTTTTGTTTTTGGGACAGGGTCTTACTATGTTGCCCATGCTGGTCTTTTCTTTTTTTTTATGGTACTGTGGATTGAACCCAGAGCCTCTGCACTCAGCTACATCCCCAGTCCTTTTTTATTTTCTATTTTGAGACAAGGCTTTGCTAAGTCACTAAGTTGCCCAGGAGGCTCGGCTTGAATTTGCAAGTCTTCCTACCTCAGCCTTCCAGAGTGCTGGGATCACAGGCATGTGCCACCACACGTAGCTCAGGCTGGTATTGAACTGGACATAGTGATCTTGTGCCTCAGCTTCCTGAACCTGGAACTACGGGCACACAACACTGGCGTGCTAAACCCCAGGTGTTTAACTAGAGCATTAATTTACCTTTCTTAACTTAATTGCTATTATTTGGGGGCAGGAAGGGGAATAACCATGCAATTGAGAAATTATGATGACCACTCAGGCATCACAATTCTAGAAATGTTTAATGTGCACTGACTGAAGGTAAAGATTCTCTGCTCAAGTAACTTTAAAGACATTTTCATTAAACAGGTTCATCTATTTAGATGTAGGATTTCTAAAATAGGTAATAACAACAGTAGAGAAAAAATAGTCCCTAAAAGGTATCTCTGGCTTCTTTTGACTATCTTATAAAATGACATATTAAATTTTGTTGTTACTCATAAAGATTAAATTATCACTCATTTTTCTAAAGCTGAAATACAATCATTAATACTTCATGTTTTGCATTCTCTGGCTTACGGGCCTCCTTGGTGTATTATATAACTGTATCATTCCAGGCATTTCTAAGTTGTAGAAATGTTCAAATAAAGTTTTAAAAATGATAATCCCTTTCCAATTCTGACCTTACTAAATTTAGTCAACTTTCTGGTCCTGGAAGGCACACTGTGAATATAAACAAAGTTTTACTGGCATGTGCTCAGTTTATAAACACATACTAGCCAGAAGCATGTACTTTAGAGACAGTTCTCAGGGTCTAATCATCGACTAGTAAATCTCAGTCGTTCTCATGATTAAACTGGGCTGCCACCTGATATGAAAAATAAATGTTTGATTATGAAAGCCTTAAATTACAATGCACTGTTAAGGAACCAAAGCTAAATTTCAGCTTTAAACTTTTTCTCAGAAACAGAATATTAACGCACAAGAACATTTATTCCATTCATTCTCAGAATCAGCCATGCGGACAAAGTACTTACTCCTTCTCCTGTGGGGATTTGCCCATTGATGGTAAGAGTTCGAAAGGGGGAGTGAGTAGATAAGCGTTTGTCCCATTCGCTAGGCCGTGGTTCTGGTACAGACTCCATGAAGTTCTTTTTCAGCTCACTGATGCTAGCATGATGTTTTTTGATCTCTTCTTGACTTTTGTCTAAGTCCTACAGTTGAAGGACAGAAATGCAAAACAATAAATGATAGGGACAAAACACACACCAAGGGTAACCCATCAGAGACTGGGTACTGGTAGAAAACACACCACATCCAGGATAGATATTACTAAGCCACATATTGCATTTAAATTGGAAACCTACAACATAATATTTTTGCTTCTTTTTTTTTTTTTAAATCAAGGTGCTTTTCTTGGAAGCAGTAAAGCATCACAACCCCCTAGCTCTAGTTACATAACCCATAAAGAGCTCACTCCTTAATCTGGTGACTTTTCTTCCCAATATGATACAAAACCAGATCTCCAACTCCTCATCCCAAGCAAGTAATCCCACAATTCAATTAGCCTCAGTTTGGTAAGAACTGATTTAGGCTCAGCTCAAGCAGGATGGAGAAAGCAATAAAGAGACAAACTATTAAATGAAGGAGATGGTGAAAGATTCAACTTCCACCACTGGCTGCTGTACCTTGGTGAGTTGTAACAATAAAGTAGCCCTCTATGTCTACTGAGATTTTTTTTCGCTTCTGTATTTTTTAATAGGTGTTTGTTCTTTTCGATAAACAGTTATACCCCTTTTTGATAGAAGAACTTTATGCTAAAATTTCCAATGCCTCTTACTATCTGAAAAACTCAGTGAGGGATATGTAATATAACGACTCGCCTGCTCCCCCTTTGTCAATATTATTTACACAAACTAAAAGTCATGTTTTCTAGCTGCTTCATCCCTAGTACAAATAAAAACATTCTGGAGTAGGGAAAGTAGCTCCATGGCAGAATGCTTGCCTAGCATGTGCAAGGCCTTGGGTTCAATTCCCAGCAGCAGCAGCACCAAAAAAGGGGAGGGGCATTTTCCAATAAACTTCAAAGGATTGGGGGTGACACTAAGAGTTCATCAAATAGTGAGCAACTACAGGAGGCAGCAAACTCTAGAAGGGGATCCAGAGACAAATGATCAAAACTAAGGTGAACAAAGCATGAGCTAGAAATATTCAGATTTACATAAAAATAGTATATAATAGCTTTCAAAAAGGACACTTGTCCAAAAATAGTCTTGTAAATATAACTCGAAGACAAAGATACAATGGTCTTTGTCTGTAGATAACAATATATAAAACAATAACCATTGATAATTTCCTACCACTTTGTCTGTAATTTGGTAAGACCCCTCTCTTATGATGTTATCCTTCTTTTACTTTTTAAAATAAAAAACAAAAACAAAAACAATGGTCTTTGTCCAACTGAGCTTTAAAAATCTTAAAAGTCTGAACATGAGATCATAATATTTAGAGCGCATCTCTTGATGACTGCAAAAATTGTTTTTCATTTATCAAGGAAGCTCTGTATCCAAGAAAAGCAAAATGACAAATACATCTTCTAATGTGCTGTTAATTTTGGGATTAGTCTCTTTTTGGCTCTGTAGGAAACAGCTTCACTTTGGGGAAAAACAGAATACATTTAAATCAAAATTTGTTTAAAAGTTTTTCTAAGGGCAACATAGGCTCCCACTAAATAAATTTTTTCAAAAGTAACATCAGCATCAGGAATATAGCTCAGTGGCACAGCGCCTGCCTGGCAAGCACAAGGTCCTCAGTTCGATTCCCAGTGCCAAAAAGAAAAAAAAAAGAATAAGACAAAAGTAACATCAAAGGAAAAATAGTATAGGAAATAGAATCAGTGAGACACACAACAACAATATTGATTCTAGAGGTATTTATTCAGAAAATTCACTTACTACTCTCATCTTTATTTTTCTAAGACTGACCCACGTACACTTGGTTGGCATCAGTAAAGAAAACTAACCAAAAAAGGGCAACCATGTTGCTCCTTTATAACAGTGATTTTTGTTTGCTGGGACAAAATGTGAGTCTCTTTTACAAATAAAAAGCTTCACTCTGGGGAGGGGAGCAACCGTTTGTGCTTCTGATCCAGCTAAAAGCAAGAAAAACATGTTTTATCAGCTAAATAAGAGCATAAACAAGCCCACCCAAAGACTTAGTATTGGGCCAAGCAACTGAGACCCACCAGGCACGTGAGGCCCTGTGACTCAGCTCTGACTGGAACTCAACCTGTTTAGCAGAATTGAACATATTTGGGGAGGGTCGTTTAAAAGTGTGACTGGAGCAAAACAATTAGCGGGAGATGCTATGCCAAAATCGTAACTCTGAGTTAGCATCTTAATAAGATAGATGGGTGACTTGTTACTTTTCTTGCCTGGCTTTCAATTGGCCTAGAAGCTGAGTAAATAAAATTTCCAGTAAAATGAGTAGCTTCTGAGGGAGCTTTCTCCATTCTCCTTAGCTGGCTTTGATGGAAACCTGTGGGGGCACAGAGTAAAATTAAGATCTCAAAGGGACCTGTTCCAAATAGAACTTGTCATAGACATTTGTTACAGGTTCTCTCTGGGAGATGGAGGAGGAGGTGGTAGATCTAAAAATGAATTCGACCTTATTTGTGCCAGAACAAAGCATTAGTGGGGGTGGGGGAGGAGGAGGCGGGGAGGAGGGATGCTTAAAAAAAAAAAACCCTGCTAGGTGACAGATAACTTGAGAGAACTTCCTTATGGGGGAAAACACTTTTTAAAATAGCTAAAGAATGATGGTCAGTCAAATTATTTTGGCTGTGTTGAGGTTAGGCAATTTTTGATGCCTACAGTCTCATGATTTTAGAAATAATCAAACCAAGCACTTCATTAAATATAAAATGCTCTCAAGAGATAGTTAGTAGTTTTAATTTTTCAAACACACAGTTATTTAGAAATCTCCTCTCACGGCTGTCAGTGAAATGCTGGGGGAAAAAAACACACCACACACAAGGACTTCGTGAGTCTCAGAAGCAATAACACACCTCAGAACAGATGACAAATATATGATTGGTACTGCGCATCCCAGTTAAGGAGAAGCACTGCAGAGGACTAGTGAGGAAATGTTTCGGGTTGGAAGGTGGTTACACTGATGAGTAAAGGCGGGAAATCACCATCTATTATCCTGCCTTATGTCTGAAGATGGAATGATTTGGGTCTAGATCTGGGCTGAAACAGATCGAGTTTCTAAGATTGATATATCTGAGGGTTCAGAAAATATCATGTTACGTAAGATGTATGTAAAGCACTGGGTATCATGCCTGTTTTACGGTATGCTTAATGAAAGCTGGCTGTAATTTTCATCACTTTTATCAAAGTTCTATACAAATAGCAGGTATTCAAAATATAGGTATTTGGCAAAAATAAGATGAAGTTAAATAATTACTACAGGCTATATATTAGCCCAAAAGTCTGTTTTTAAAAGTTTTCAAGTTCCAGTTTGGTATTTATCGCATTTAATATATGTTCATCTTTCAGATATCAGTTAAAATGTTGACTCTTCACTGTTCATCTCACTTGGAGTAGATCCTTTTTGTTAGTATAGTGTACTATTCATTTTCTATAGTTTTTATAATAGCTTGTAATTACTTTATTGCTATTTGTTTTCATAGTTATTGTTTCTCTCCTTCCCAGTTCTCTGTATTATAAGCTTCCTGAAGGCAGGAACCATGTTTATCATCTTCCTATAGTCTACATTTCCTTTAAAGTGAAGTTAAATCCTTAATGTAAGAACTTATATTCATTTCTTACGGTTCTGCCTTGAATGGAGTTGTAAGATAATCTGGTCATTAATTTTCATATGAGTTATTTTATTTTGTTTTGTTCTCTTTTTGAGACAGGGATTCACTACACAGTTCAGGCTGGCCTTGAACTCACTTTGTAGCCCAGACTGCCCTCTGAACTCGCGGCGATCCTCCTGCCTCAGCCTCCCAAGTGCTGGGACTACAGGCACATGCCACTATGTCCCTCCTGTATAAGTTCTTTCCTGATATATAAATCAACTTGATCTTAATTTTTTCCACATGGAATAATTCCACTTTTTAAAATTTTTCCTCATGTACCTTCCTAATCTCAGTAGTTTTACATTTTCCTATCCAATGTAGATCCCCAAACTAGATAAAGTAGACTTTATCTCTATAATAATATAGGTCTGGTAAAAAATATGAACAATGTTGAATATAATGGGAAAATGACCTTAAAATTCCTATGGCAGAAAGTACATTACTATTTCTGAATGGAAAACAGTGTAGCTTAACACACAGCATATTACTATTTCTGAAAGAAAAACAGTGTAGTTTAAAGTTATATGATTCCTAATTTAAATCCAATTTACCAATTTACCAGCTCTGTGACCATAAAGCAATTTATTTCTCTAGGCATCAATTTTCTCATCTTTAAAGTAAAAATCCCATTCTCACAAGCTTGTTTTCATAATTAAACTTCTTATAGTAACTATTTATTAAATACCAGGTTCTCTTCTTTCTTATCTTACCCCCAACCTTTCTTCAGTAATTTCCTACTATCCCCACTATTTCAAGTCAATCTAAATTATGACCACATTTCTATACTCTCCCAGCTCAGAAAAAAAAGTAAAAATTTGTTTCAGGGACATATATAAATTTAAATATTCTGGGAAAATTCAGGAACTTCTAGCAGTGATACAGAACTTTCTGCATGGAGGTAAAACAATGGTGTGATGAGAGAGACAGGTAGTCCCAATCATATATATATATATATGTATTTTTTTCCAATCATATATTTTTTTAAAGATATATGAAAGATGAAAACTAGAAAGAATCAGAAGGAGAGATGGCTGCGTATCTTCATGTTTACCAACATGCAAAAGCATTTTAAACCTAAAAATCTCTCATGCAATGGCATGCAAAACCAAATGCAGCATAGATGAAGAAAAGGGAATCAGTAAAGAATGCAGGAGATCCAGGCAACCAACTAAAATAAGCTTCAAGTTCATACAAACCTCCAACATTAAATTGCTATGTCTGATATAAATGTTTTCACCATCTAGTCTCTCTCTCTTTTTCTGTGAAAATGAAAGGGGGAAAAACAGAAAAGCATAAAAAATTAAAATGTTGTTCTTGCGGGAAAAACTGCAAATTGGCAAACAAAAAATATTTGAAATTAAATGTCCGCAGCACAGCTTATGCCAACATGGAATGGCCACAGAACCACAAGGACACGAAGAACTTGATTACCACTAGAAAATGAATGACCTTGTTTGTGAATGATGAAAGACTGTGATGATGTTATTTAAACAGACAGTGCTCCTGGCTTCATTGGCTTCTTACATAATGCGTTGTTTTATGTTTATTTTTGAAAATGAACTGTTTGAATGTTACCCTCAAATAATGACTTTAAAAAGCTTTGAAATCTCACATACCAGGGAGTGAAGAAATGCTTGAAAACATTATTTAGCTTTTTAGAAGTATTTCATATTTACTGATACTCCAGTAGGTAGATCTCTAATACCTTTAAGAAAAACGAATGGCATTTTACACTTGATTAGTGAATACATATATCCAGTAAGAACTGATCCATCCCACTCGGTAGCTGGGAAAAATGAGGCCCATAGCAATCAAACTCATTAACAACACTGGGAGTTGTTACTATGACGGTTTTTATGATAAATGTGCATAAAATATTGTCGATGATTTTACAAACATGTCATTGTGAAATAGTTCTTATAAATTTGAATATGAAGAATAAGTTTGATCATTATTTCATTTTGTTAAAAAGATCTTTTCCTACTGAAAAGTTTAATAAAATCTTTCAAAAAATAGTACAAGATTGCTCTTTTAAAGTAACCTGATTAAGAGAAATCAATGAAAAGAATGGATCACTGTCTTTTTAATGCATTGTAAGTCAGCGTAGGTGAAACGGCAGTGTAGTTCTGTGAAAGTGACAAATGGCTAACCTTCCTCATTTTTATCAGATCTTCAGTTTTTTCGGCAAGCTTCTGTTTTGCCATAATTCAAAAAGAAAAAAAAATGATAAAATATTGGATCAGTGAAGTCTGTTCGAACCTTCATTTTAATTTACTTTATTTTATTTTTAAGGAGAGGGGACCAAGGGGGGAAGAAAAAAAACTGAGGAGGTAAAGGGAAAAAGGAACACATGGCCTGTTGGCACAAACCTGTGTTTGGTCACCATTTGAGGTGGGTACTGTGACCTCGATGTGGGTTTTTTCCACCTACATTTAAGAAATAAAGCGGTAAAAACATTTTAGGTTAGTAGGTTTCTATGAATAGCATTGTTTCCAAATAAGCTGCATCATAAGCTGGTTGGGAAATACGTCAACAGGTAAGCATGATGCAGTCTTACAGAAGGTGTTACAGGCAAGGATATTACTCCCAGTGGTAACATGTTAGTTTACTATCACATTTTTAAGGATGAAGACATATTATGGCAAACCAATTATCAAAAATAAAATTAAGGTAATCATTCTGTGGATTAAGGAAACATTTTTATATTTATTCATAAAAAGTAATCATTAAAAATAAAAACAGCTTATTCGATACTACAGGTATACATTTTGTTTTGCCTTTTTTGGTAAGGTCTGGAAGTACTTTAAATAACATTTAAAAACAAATTTACAAATGAAGAGATTAATGTTAATCTACATGGCAGAAATAAAGATAATTTTTATAGCTAAAACACATATGTAGTACACCACATACAATAAACAAATACATAGGACTTTGTTAGTTGATCAATATACTTAAGGAAGCAGTTTGCTCTTTGGGTTATCATACAATAAAACATCAAAATAATCTTCACCCAAATTATAAATGGCACATGCAATTACTTCCAAGACTCATTTATACATGACACACACAGGACTCAGCCACAATTTTCAATACTCTGCAATCTCCTCTTTAAACAGTTGGAACCTATGTTTGGAGGTAAGGCAAAAGTTATTCTCAATAGTAAGAAATGACTAGATAAGGTCTCTGTGTAGCCTTGAAATACCTTTAGTTATAGTCATTTTATGTAATATGTAAAATGGAGCAATTATTAAAAAGCCAGACAGGCTAATAAGAGGAAGCACTGACTATTACAAAATTAGAAAAAGGATTGTTTTTATTAAGGGTTAAGTCAATCACCTTCTATCATAAAACCTTCATCAATCCATGGTTTTGACATTTTCTTTTTAATCACATGAAGCAGCATTACTTTGGAGTACAATGTTGTTGTGCCACTTTCTCTAGAACTGAACGTAAAAAATAAGACAGCATCGAACTTGGTAGCACTGTCAAATCATAGGCACATCCAGCTGCAGCACTTTTAAAAACCAGGGGTTACTAACAAGTGAGTTGTTTCTACTCTGAATCCCAACACACTTGTTGTGTGGTCACTAACAAGGCTTTTGATCTGTGTGAGTACAAATGTTCATACTAAAAAAAATGGACATAATGTCTTCACTTAATTATGTACACTTAGCAAACAGTAGTTTTAAATTATTTTATAAAGCTTAAATTCTTTGTTTAAACAAATAATGAGTCTTTTTGGGTCTGTTGTAATCCAACAACAGGAAACTGAGAATCATTATTTCTGAAAAAACTGAGCCCAAAAACAAAAACAAAAACAAAAAACTGGGCACAGTGGGTTTATGCCTCTAGTCCCCACTACCTGGGGGATGGCTTGAGCCCAGGGGTTTGAGGCCAGCCTAGGCCATATAGCAAGACTATATTTAAAAAAAAAAAAGAGGCTGAGTAGCAACAGTAGCTTTGTGTATGCTCCTACACAGAAGATTAAACAGTACTGCTTCCACAGCTATACAACAGACCTTGTCAAATAAGCCACGATGACAAAAGCTATCCTTATATCGTACTAAACTACTGTGAGATAATGCAATTTACAGTTACAAGGCTATTTTATTACTACTGTTGCTATATACAATACATATGGTTTCAAGTAAATGCCATAATTATTTTCTAACTGCTATCAATAAAATCAGTTCAGATTCACCCTTAACTCTGGCTCTACTATTACAGCGATAGGTTATCAGAGGTGGCTTTCAGTTGTATTCCAACACAAATACTTCAAAACAAGTACTTACATAGAATTAATAACCAGAAAGAAACCTCCCCCAAATAAAAAAATTTTTTTAAAACCCAAAAGAACCCTCAAACACATTTAAATGAAAAGAATAGATCAGAGAGTATTCTCTTTATTCTGGTGAGGTCCCAAGGACAAAGGGAACATACTTTTGAAAATACTTGTGTCTGTCTTATAAGCAAAAGCAGAACAAGTAAGCAGAAAGCCTAAGGAATCCAAGCCATTCAGGAAGATTACCTTGACAACTCCAATAATCTAACACTTGCCTGTTAGTACAAAAACAGAAGGATAGTCAAACATGCCAGGTGATATATTGTAACATTAAAAATGTAGTAGGTAATCTAACACTAAAAAGATATTGTTTAGACAGGCTTAATAGCACATGCCTGTAATCCCAGTTTCTTGGGAGGCTGAGGTAGAAAGAAGCATCACAAATTTGAGGTCAGTCTGGATTACTCAGCAAGACCCTGTCTCAAAATGAAACAGCAAAAGAGCTGGGATATGGTAACTCAGTGGTAGAGCATATGCCTAGCATGTGAGAACCCCTGAATTAAAAAAAAAAAAAAAGACTGTTTGCACAATGTTATGAACACTTAGCTAGGTACTAAAATGCAAGCCTCCACCATCCATTCAACCTTTCCTTTTTCCTTTCTAGACTCAAGGTAAGTCTCAAAAGGACACCAAAACTGCATATCATAGTTGACAGATTTTAGAAAAAAACAGAGTTAGACTGTCCACTGTTCTATAGATAAACTGCTGATCTGCCTCCCCAAAAAGAGGATTAATCCATATGTTAAGGTGAGAACACTAAGATCTGAGAGTTTTAAATTTTTTAGTAGACATGTAAAAATATAATTTTTATCAAGATTGCATCTCATAATTCCTGCTGGCAAGAGTGAAACCTATATTTAGTCTAATAAACCTGAACTAGCACCTCCACTCCACCACTGCTTAATTTTGCTTCAAAAGCTTGTAAACATAGAAGATCAGCCCAGTAATTGTTACTTCTGGGAAATCTGCTAATTAAATTGGTGATTTTTCAACTCAGTGCAATGACTGTGGGTGCAATCAACTGAGAACTGTAAGCAACTCAGCAGCATAACTCTTCTTATGTAGTAGATCATCCCTTCTTGTAATGCTACTTAAGAGTTAAATCACATGAATGTGTTTTACGTAACATGTACTGTTTGGAAATGTACATACATTTATCTTAGGAAATTATATCTACATATCTATTTTGTTGTGATACTTGGGATTGAACTTAGGATCTTCATGCTAAGCTATAGCCTCAGTCCTTGTTTTTATTTGGTTTGGTTTGGTTTTTTGAGACAGTCTCACTAAGTCACTAAAGTGCCCATGCTGACTAGAACTTGTGACCTTTTTCCCTCAGCCTCCCAGAGTGCTGGGATTATAGGCATGTGTCGCTTACACCAGGACTAAAATTGTATTTTAAACAGCAGAGCTGACTCTTAAGTAATGTGGTGATTCCAATTACTTCATTCAGAAAGAACAAGGAAGAAATCTGTTGTGATTCTATAAGACTCAGTTCTCTGAGAACCTTCTTGGTCAAGGAGTTAAAACCTGTAACTCAGCAAGTCAGTCAGCTAAATATGTAGATTTATGACGTACCTTCCACGCTTCTGTGGGCTCTGGTTCAGCTTGCTCAGGTGGTTCCTCTTCCTTTTTCACTTCAACCTTCACTGTTTCCTTCTGTGTTTTTTTGACAGGCGCCCCTGGGACACCGCCTTCTGTGACTTCACCCTGAGCAATGGCTGGTGCAGAGGTGGGCCGAGGACTTCGGTCTGCTGAATCATTAGCTGCTGCTGTATGAGAAAGAGAAAATGAAAAAATAAGTGAAGACAAGAGCCAGCATACTACTTTAAAGTCACCAGGAGAAAGAACTGAATCCAGGACACATATGAATGTGACAAAGTCCAATGGCTCATCACATAAAAATAAAAAAAGTATTAGCTCTCAGGCGATTGATGGCAACAAGATAGCTAAAGGTATTCACAACAGAAAAGCTAAAGTATATTAACAATCATATTCCATATGCTAAATTTAGGTGAGAAAGATCAAACAATAAAAAAAAATTGAAAGCTGGGTGTGATGGCACATGCCTGTAATCCCAGCAGTTAGGAGGCTAAGGTCGGAGGATCGCCACAAATTCAAGGTCAGCCTGGACTACATATTGAGTTTAAAACCAACCTGAACTACATGGTGAAAAAAAAGAAAAAAGAAACTAAAAATCCATTATTACCATTACTATTATTTTATTATTATTATTTTTTATACTGGGGATTGAAACCAGGGCCTTCACAATGAGTTACATTGCCAGCTCTTCTCTTTCTTTTAAATTTTTGTTTAGAGACAGGGTCTTGCTATATTGCTAAATTACCCAGGCCAGGCTCAAATTTGTGATCCTAGGGTGCTATAACTACAGGCATGCACCACCACACCCAGTTTAAAAAACTCATTAATCTTGTGATAGGTTAGTTTCATAACTGCAACCTATGGAGAAAAAAAAGGGGATCGGGGGGTGGTAACTATGGTTTCTTCTATGAAGCCTTTTTGAAATAAAGATTCATTTATTTCTAGGTGGTTTCAGGAACCTAAAAATACATTCTACGAGAAAAGAATTGTTGGATTTCTTCTGTGAACCCTCAAAGGAATGATTATAAAACAAATTGATAAGTGGTTCTTCTAATAAGATGTGTACTATGTTTTGATGTTTCTAAGGGCAAATCTTTTTTTTTTTTTTTTTTTGGTACTAGGAATCGAACTCTTGACCTCAGCCTTGCCAGGCAAGCACTTATGCTGCTGAACTATATCCCCGGCCCTCTAAGGGCAAATCTTTGAACGAGACATTTACCCTTTTAATAATAAATCATTCAAATACATATGAATTCAAAATCTTTGGCCTTTGGTTCCAAAACCAAAACATGAACACCTTTTGAGTTCTGTCCCACCCTCTTTCAGACTCTGAGCAATGTCTGTTATAGCTCCTGGTCTCTAAAACATTTAGAGCAATAGTTCCCAGCTGGGAGTGATTTTGTCCCAGAGAATATTTGCCAATATCTAGACATTTTTGGTTGTCGCAACTGGAGAGGGGAGAGAAAGGAGGCACGGACATATATAGTGCATAGAGACCAAGGTGGCTGAAGCTGAGAAAACTCGATGCATGGGAAAGTCTGTATTGACTCTTTTTGAGAAAATAAACAACACAGGGTGGTGAAAAAGCTTCATCTTTTCACAGAATTAATTGTTTTTGTTTGGACTATTTGGCATCTAAGTTTTAGTCTCAGGGCCAGGTGTGGTGGCACATGTCTGTAATCCCAGCACTCAGGAAGCTGATGCAGGTGGATCACCTTAAATTTGAGGCCAGCCTGGGCTGCCGTCTGAACTACATAGTACAGCTGATCGTGTCTCAGAAAAAAAAAAGCTCCAAGGCTGCGCAATGCAGCTCAGTGGTAAAGCACTTACCTAGCTTATGTGAGGCTCTGGGTTTGAACCCGAGCATAATAAAAACAAACAGTCACTCATACCATACTTATGGTTACTTTGTGTTGTTTTGTATTTTACTCCTGGAAATAGAGTCTAGGGAGCACTAGCTACATGAGCCACATTCTTAATTTTTTCTATTTTATTTGAATATTACCTTTTTTTTGTTTTGTTTTGTTTTGTTTCCGGTACCGGGAATCAAACTCACGACCTTGCACTTGCCAGGCAGGTGTTTTGCCGCTGAGCTAAATCCCCAGCCCCTTTTCTATTTTATTTTAAAGAGAATAGTTAAAAACAGAACAATAGCAAAGTACTATCATCACAGACAAAAATAAAACAAAGCAAAAACATTAAAAATGATACAGGGTTTCAAAACAAAATGATAAGAATTAACAGTGGTTGTTATATCACATATTGTTACCTTCAACGAAGTTGCTCAGATTTTGAGACAAGTGTCCTAGTTACTTTCTCATTGCTGAAACACAATACTCATTAGCCACAACTTAAAGGAGAAAAGGCTTATTTGGCTCACAGTTTGTAGAGGTTTCAGTCCATAACTGGCTGGCTCGAAGGCCAGACAGCATGGCAGAGGGGCGTGGTAGAAGAGAAACAGCTCAAGCACAGCAGCAGGAAGCAGAGAGAATTCAGGGGAGGGGAGAGGGAGACAGACCCTTCCATGGCACACCCACAGTGACCTTCCTTCTCCAGGTTTCACCTCCCAACATCACCTCTAGCTATAAATTCATCAGTGGGATAATTCACTGTTGAGTATCAATGGTCCAATCGCCTCCCCAAAGGCCCTTTGATGAGTGCATGAGGCTTTGGGAGGACACCTAAATATAAACCATAACAACAGGTCATTGCTAAACTGCCTAAGCTAACCTGGAACTTGTGATCCTCCTGCCTCAGCCTCCTATGTAGCTGGAGTTAAAGTGTGTGTCACCACATGTGGGTACTACTTAGGGTTTTTATCTTCATTCTTTCAGGGATTAAGAAAAAACTCCTAGGGCTGTGTGTGATGGCACATGCCTATAATCCCAGCACTCAGAAAGGCTGAGGCAGGAGGATTGGTGTGAGTTTGAGTTAGTTCAAATTTAGTCTAAACTACATAGTGAGACCATGTCTCAAAAAAACCTTCTATACACTTTGTAATAAGACCATATTTATCTGACATTATCTAAGAAGGAAAGTGTTTTCCTACATGATGTAATATTTTTAATAACAGATCATTATCCTTTCTTATACTGATTTTTAAAACTTTAATTCTTTTTCATGACAATCTTTATAATTTCTATTACACATTTTCGTTTTAAAACTGACTATCCTGCTGGGCACAGTAGTGCACGCCTGTAATCCCAGTGCTCAAGAGGCTGAGACAAGACGATCACAGTGAGTTTGAGGCCAGGCCGGGCTACATAAATGAGTTTAAGCCAGCCTGAACTGCATAAAGGGCCCTGTCTCAAACAAACAAACAAACAAACAAACAAAGAAACCCTAAAAAACTGACTGTCCTGAAAATAACTTATTCTGATATTATCATTCTTGGATGATAAGGAAACTTGGCTTTATATTTATAAGGCATACAAAAATTTTTAAAAACAAACTGGAGGAGATTTAAAAATTGAAATTCATAAGTATTTCACACATACAATACCAAGGCTTATTACTCTGTAACTATCTCCAGTGAAAGCAAGTTTCTCAGATGATGCATAGAAAAATAGCAGAAACACAAGAACCATCAACATATCTTTCAATGAAAAAAACCCGTGGCCTCTTGCAAGTCCCCACTATTAATGGGTGCTCCATTCCAATCAACGCAAGAATGGCAGATGGCAGACCAAATTTAACAAAACAGAGCACTGTGACAAAATATTTTGCTCACAGTTGTGTAAAAGTATCATTATACATGTGTATTCACACCTCCTCTCAAAGAATTAATTCAACTGCCTGGCATCGGAGAAACATAGCCCGTGCTTTCACCATGTGTTATTTTGCCACTTGAATTTGGTTTTAATCCAATGCTAATACTGTAGAGCCAAATGATTTATGTCTTCAGCATTCTGTACTCGGCAATCTCAACCATATACAGGAAAGTAGGAATAGATCTCAAAAGTGACAGAAACACAGGCAGAAACAGTTCAGAGATTGGACAAATAATAACATTACTGTGAACAGCTTTGATGATAAAAAGGCAAAAATCAAGTCATGAGTCTTGGTTCACCTCAGTCACACAAAGCACTGTGACCTATCGCAAGGAGCTTAATCTTACAAATTTCAGTTTCATCATCTGTAAAAGTGGAAGATATTAACTCTATAGTATAGGTGGGGGAGGAATATTGAATAGATACAAATATATTTTATGAACTCTAAATATCAATAATTTCTAACATACCTAAGTCCTTGTATTTCTCTAGTAATGGGTTAATATTTCAAGACTATGTTGGGCAAAAGCTAATTTATGTACACATGACAAGTAATTAAAAAATCACCTGGGAGCCCTGGGGAGTGTCAAATTCTCTTAACTTTCTCAATAAAGAGACTACAAACTGTGGATCACAATAAAATTTGGTGATTAGTTTTTATAAAAATAGCTTTATTAATGTATTATATAATTCACTCCTTTAAAGTATGCAATTCAATGCTTTTTAGTATATTCTCAGTGTTAGAGGTAGTGATTTCTTTTTAACCTGTTTTGGCTTGAGGCTGGGGATGTAGCTCTGTGGTAGAGCACTTACATAGCATGTGCAAAGGTCCTCGGTTCAATCCCAGCACTATACACACACAAAAAGATGTTCTGGCTTTTCACTTTCATTAATTCAGTTGTTATCCATTATAAAACTTTGATGCATATACAGGGAACACTCCCAATTATTAAAAACGCCATTCTTGCGTTGAAAAAAAACTCCCAATTATTAAAAAATAATTCATTATCTGCCATTTTTGAAAGCCTAGACAAAGAAAAGTGCCTATGGTAATACTCTTATAGATCCACTGACTTCAGTTATCATATTGCTCTTGGCTGACAACATCAGAAACTTAGTTCAATATTAGGGGAGTAAAACACAGAACTCAAACTCATCAGAGTGAAGACAGGTATGGTGGCAGGAGGATCGCAAGTTTGCACATAGCCTGGGCAACTCAGTGACTTAAAGAGACCTGGTCTCAAAAAATTTTTAAAATGTGGGAGGGGTGGCACATGCCTGGGAACATAGCTCAGTGCAAAGGCACTGAGCCCAATACTTGATACTGTAAACAAACAAAAATATAGTATTACTTTTCTTTTTTTGATGGTGCTGGGGATCAAACCTAGGACCTTGTGCAT